AATGAAAATAGTAAAACAACTAAATTCAGAAATAAGAACAAAAGAAATTGAAGTAGAAAAAAAATATAATAAACACTGACCTGTTCCATTATTTTGGTGCACCTTCTCTTACTGTGGTTGTTGAGCCCACATAGACTGCATTTCTTCATAAGGCCCTTTCTGCTGCTGTTTGATGCCTTAAGCCTTATGTCATTAGCGTCAACTATTCTTTTCTTTGTTGGCCTACCCCTTTTTTTCACAGCATCAGGTGGTTGTATTGGACCCATTCCAGACTCTTCATAGTCATTCATCCCCGGCACTGGGAAGATCATATGGGTATACATTCTGATATACATGTCCTTTTTGAAATAATCAGACACATAATCAGACACACTGAATCTATGAAAACTGATACATGCCAGTGCATGGTAACAGGGGTAGCCAACCACTTGGAACATGCCACATGTGCAGCTTCTTGCTCCCAATTGGACTATATAGCTGTTTACTCCATGAACTACCTCATATTTGTCCTCTCCAGCCTAAGTAGGGTAACAATTCCTACTTATTTCCCTTTGCTCTTCAATCTTTCTGACTGTGTTTGGACAAATGTCCTCTTTGTATTTGCCTATCCCAGCTTTCTTCACCTGGATTCTTGCCATCAATCTTCTCCTGATCCACTCAAACATGTCCACAATAGCCATGTCCCTAGCTTCCAAAATGTAGTTGTTGAAAGATTCTGATAGATTGTTAACAATCACATCACACACTGCATTAGGAGAAAAGAAACACCTGGCCCAGTGTTCTTCAGGAACAACCTTCAACCATTCAAATGGAGTAACCTGAGAAGAACAGACACAGTATTGTAAACCAATAGAAGAACATGCACAATATTCACCTGACAACAATATTCAGTACAATATCAAGTGTTCACAGCCATATTAAAAAACCATAGGCACAATATTCAGATCAGCCACAACCATAGGCACAATTTTAGAAACAATATTCAGAATTACTCAGAAACAGCCACAACCATATTCAGAAGGTTGGCACAATTTCAGAACAGCCACAACCATATTGAGAAACAATATTCAGAATGCAACAATTCAGTGTTTGTTTATCAGAAATCACAATATTAACAATCACAATTTTAGCAACATAAAAATCAGAACATTAGGCACATGCACAACAAAATACTGAACAATAATCAGTGTTTATCAAAATCATAATATCAGAATATAGAGAAGTACCTTGCCATCCCTCTTAGAAAAAAGCTTTTGAATTTGACTCATGCACCTCACATGTTCCTTCACATTGTATGTGCTAGCTGCCTTCCAAAACTATTTCCTCAACTCTAGATCCCCCCACTTCTGCTTAAAGTTATTGTACATGTGCTTCAAGCAATATCTATGCTCTGCCCCCTCAATCTCACTCACTGCTTCAAGCAAACCCTTTTGTCTATCTGAGACAAAGGTCCATTTCTTCTCCTTGTAAGGGTTTACATCTCTCATTAGCCTTTCTAGGAACCACCTCCAAGAATCTGTCTTCTCAACCTCCACAAATGCCATTGCAATTGGTAGCATATTGTCATTTCCATCCCTACCAATTGCTGAAAGAAGTTGACCACCATGAAGAGTCTCCAGAAAGCATCCATCCAGTCCAATAATTGGCCTGCAGCCAGATAAGAATGCTTGTCTCATTGCAGCCAAACAGACATACATCCTCATGAACTTTGGAGGTGAAAAATCTTTGTTCACCTTGATGATAAGAGAGCTACCAGGATTGTACTTGGCTACTGTGGAGCAGTAGTCATACAGCCTTTTATACTGCTCCCCATGGTCAACCTTCAAAAGTGAAAGAGCATACACTTTGGCCCTGTATGTCTTGTGCATACTAACCTCAACCCCACAATGTCTCTTAATCTTGTTTTTCAGACTTGTCAAAGTCTCACCAGGATTGTCCTTCAAAGTATCCACCATCCTTCTTCCAAGATATTTGTAGTCTGCTTGAGTGTTCTCTGTCCTGTAGGCACAAGTGTGTTTGCCTTTCAATGTCTTGATCTGAAATGTTGACAAACCTCCAATAACAGAGGCCCTCAAGGACCAGTCACACCCACTTTTACAGATTGCTGTGATTAGCTTTGCTTCATTCTTTGGGAACTTCAAATCATAGCCTTTTCTAACTGACCAATCTCTGATCACCTCCTTGAATGTTGCTCTGCAAGGAAATTTTTGACCAACCTTCAGCTCAAACCTTGACATATCAGCACCCTCTTTCCATTCATCAGGCTCTTCAAGGCAATTATCATCATCCTCAGGTGGACTGTACCAACCT